TACAAAGCATGTTCCTTATCCCAAAAGGAACCAGAGTTGCATTTCTTCGGTGCAGAGTGGCCTGGCTCAAGAGTATTCCTTGTGACATGTTTGGGGTGTGTCTTTACTTAACAGCAAAATGCACACATCTCATAAAACAAACACTTTAAGAGCCAAACGACTGTTTCTTCCAACACCTTTCAAACCCCAATGAGGAAGAGTGAACTGTGACCTTCAAGGAATTATCAGCTTCTCAAGGGACCTTTTCAAAATTTTATTTTGTGAAAATAAGCCCTCATGGTAATAGAGAACTATAAACTCTGCTTTACAGAAAAATTTTCATTAAGAATAGAACTTTTGCAGGGCAGGAGACCCATCATGCTCTCTGAAGACCACAGAATTCTTTTCCTTCCCCAGAAACCAGGTAAAGGACCATTACCTCTAGCACACCTATGGTGAGGCACAAAGAGGCTTTCTGATTCACTCCAATGGAGTTGGCAGCTCTGTTTAATTATTTAAGAAGAGACAATTAAATCACTTCAGAACCCTAGAATGGCAGCAAATAGAATCCAGGAGATATCCTGCTAGTTTGTTCAAAGACTTATCAAAAGTTACCTTTTATCAGTCCCAGTTGATGACTTGGTGACAACAAAAAACAGTTTAGATTTTTCTGAATATGCACATGTATATACGTACATGTGACTAAGAAGCTGGAGTGAAACCCTCAATGACCAGACATTTTATAGCAAGACCCAGAAAACAGGCAAACCCTTCCTTCCAACATGGTGAATGCTCTATGTTTTCACTCCCACATCTAGAAATCCATGTGTTTTTTTTTTAAGATTTTATTTATTTGACAGAGAGAGAGTAAGAGCGCGCACACGCATGCGCAAGAAGAGGGGGAGGGGCAGAGGGAGAAGGAGAAGTTGACTCCCCGCAGAGCTGGGAGCCCAATGCAGGACTCGATCCCAGGACCCTGGGATCATGACCTGAGCCAAAGGCAGATGTTTAACCATCTGAGCCACCCAGGTGGCCTAGAAATCCATGTTCTGAGATAAACAGGGCTACTACAAAAGAATGACCAGACCTCCAGAACACCACCCAGAAGACCATTTGGAGGTTAAACACCTTATAGCAAAATTGACATTTTAATGTGGAAAGGAAGGGGCACTAACTCTCATCTATAAAGGAGATCTTCTCGGTGACATTCATTATTATCAACGGCCTGTCAATGTAGGTCAGGTTTCTGTAGAGAGCCCTAGCTTCCATTTTGGGGAAACAGTTCACACAGTTCTCAATCTCCCTGCCTAGCAAATTCTGCAGAGAGGAAAGAAAGCAGAGAACTGTAGAAGTGCCCCTACAGGAACACCCCTTTCCTTATGTATGCCATTTGGCTTTTGTAAACACTAGCTTGTTCTCGGTCTCATGATTACTCTGAAAGGTAAGCAGGACAGGCATTATCTCCATCTTACAGGTGAGAGAAACAGTGCCTGGGAGGCTACATGACTCACGTGCCCAAGGTCACGAGTCAGGCAGTGATTTGGTAGCCCAACCAGCAGATGAGCCTAGCCCTCTGGCTCACCAGCCAGCATGATTTCCAGGACACCAGCCAGCTTCCTTGTGTTTCAGGATGAGAGGCAGTGCAGTGTAATGCTTAGGGGCTGGGTTTTGACCCCCGCAGACCTACATTCCAATCCCAGCTCTGCTACCTCTTTGCTATCTGACCTTGTGTCGGCTCCTTACCTTGCCCTACATCTCCGCTTCCTCATCTCTAAAATGGGGATGAAACCATCTACTTCACAGAGGTATAGTGACAGTTAAATGAGAGGATGGACATGGGGCACTCAGATTCATTCCCTCGACAAATATCTGTGCCAGGCACGCACAGTGCAAGGGATACAATAGTGAGCAAGAGGCACAGTCCTACTCTCGTGGACCTTAAAATTCAGTCAAACTAAATAGCGAAGGTGAATGGATAAATAAGATACTGATCAAGTGTGTGAAGTGCTGTTAGGGTAACAGGTGAGCGGCTGGAAAGATTAACAGGAGAGAGGCAAATTTTAAGAGTGGTCTCTAAGGAGAAATTTAAGTTTGAGTCATGAGGGATCAGAAAGAGTTATCCATATGCAGAATGGAAGGGAAAACATTCCAATTATAGGGACCAGGGCGTGCAAGGGTCACAACCCGGGGAAGTGTAGGAACTGCGAGAAGACAAATGTGACGGCAATGTATCCTCATGGGATTTGGGGAACAACCTTTCCAGGCCGGCTGCCAAAGACTACCACATCTATTTTAAAAATAACAGACGAGGCTCAAGAGAGGTGATGTGTCTTCCCCAAGGTCACAGCTACTCTGAGGAGGGTCTGAGACCCCAGTATTCTACCTCCAGACACAACATCAGCTCCCTCCCTCTGAGGAAGCTTCCTGCACACTGAACTCCCCGGCTTCCTTCACTGACAACTGTCATCGGTGCCCATGAAGAGTTCCAAAAGCACCTTAAAAACACAAGCAGCAGCATCACATCAACTTCTAGGCATCTAGTCAATTGTGCACCAAAGTCCTTATCCTTTACTCTTACGACACAGGAGCAAAAACTGCTTGGACCTTACTCAAAGGCTCCAAAATAGAAACAAGTTTCTCTTCTTACAGCAGTAAACAAGAGAGGAAAGGGATGTCCTGGAAGGAAGATCCTGTGGCCTGTTCCGGAAAGTGAGACAGAACCACCAGTGCAGAAGAGTGGAAATATGAAGGTTCATCTTAAATGAACTGCAAAGGAAAAACTAATTACTTTATTTGAATAAAAGAATGAATCCCTAAAGCAGTGGTTGTCAGTTGGGATGGTGTCCCACTCCTGCACCAAGAGCATTTGGAAATTCTGTGGAGGCATGTAGTGGGCAGAGCCAGGTATGCTTAGAAGTCTTAGAAAAGGACAGGATGGTCCTATAAAGAATGTATTACCCAGGGGGCCTGGCTGGCTCAGTCAGTACAGCATGAGACTCTTGATCTTGGGATCGTGAGTTGAAGCCCATGTTGGGTATAAAGATTACTTTAAAAAAATATATACATATATATAATTTGGAAAAAGAATGTATTACCCAAAATATTAGGAGCAGCTTCACACACACTTTCATATTAATCCCAGAGGGATTACTATGCCCCCACTTTTCATGTATTCTCATGGTTCCATGGCTCTTCCCTCCCTCACCACAGCTGGATGAAAAAAAATTAAACTGAAGTTTCACAGCTGAGGAGTCTAAAATTTTGGAATCCAACTGTAAGTTCATAACTCCAACATGGAACCTGGTACCAGGTGGAATAAGGAAAAAGAAGTTTCTAGTAAGAGATATAAATTTTAGCAAAACAGGAACTCCTTCCCCAGACAAGTGTCCATAAGATTATATGTGTTTTGCAACACACAAAATTCTGTGATTTTAGAAGAACCTTCTTATACTGCTTTTCAGTTTAGAATCAGACACTAACGACAGTTCTTTTAAAAAGTTAATCACAGTCATCTCACAAATACAGCTTACTCTTTCTGGACCAAATTTTATAAGAAAAATTATTAATTTCAAGACGTCTAAAAATGATCAAATGTCTAAAAGTGCCCAAAGCAGTCACACCTTGCATCTTATTCAGGGCAGAGACTGATGCAGTTCAAGGAAGCTCCGATGAGATCTAGAGGTCTGTTCAGGAATTAAAATACCATTTCAGCAATTCAAAAGCCACTTTCAAGTGTTACCCTAAATTAGTCACTATTTCCCCCTCAAAAAATATTTCACAAATTAAATTTATAGAATTGAAACAAAAGCCAGACTATTTCCAGAAATTTAAAAAAAAAAAGATTAAAAAAGTCTACCCTATTTCACAATAGCTAGAACCGTGATCCAATAGATACACCCTCCATAAGGCAATCTTTCTTTCTACACAATATCTAGATTTTCTTAACTCTCCCAAAGCAGTCTGAATACATTAACTTCTTCACTCCGACCTGCCAATTAGCAAATAGCGGCCCCACACCCCTTCTGACCAATTTTCTAGAAGCCTAACCTGGCTTCTCAAATTAGCTGAGCAGACAGACCTGTTTTCCTCCAGAAGCTCCGGCCAGTGTGCCTTTTCTGCCCTGCCAGTCAGGGCCTGGGAAATCCTTTTTGCTGGCCTGTCACCAGAAGTTCACAAAATGAATTCATCCAGATTTTTTGAATCTTCCTCTTCCCAGGTAATGCACCAACAAGAGCCAGGCAATAAAGTCCCACCTCCCATCACAAAAGATAGAGATTACCAGGCAGACCTAGCACTTAGCATGGAGGGGAAGAAAAAAGATGGAGGGATGTGACAGTCATGCAGCCAAGCCTACTGAATGCAGCACCCGCCACCAGAGCCCTGGTCCTGCAAAGCCTCAGACAGGGAGGCTCCCTGCTAGGCCCTCCATTGGGCAGGCCATACCTGTCTATGGCAGCAGCAGGCTTCCGGCTGCTCCATTTTAAACAATTCAAACACAGCTCCAGCAGGGTGGCAAAATTGGGCATCCCCTTCTCCCAGCAAGAGTGAGAGCCCTAATCCAAACAACACTTGCCCCCAATTTTCTTTCTTTTCACACTCTTTGTTTGGGAGACACCGCTTGGTCAAAGTGGATCCCTCTCTCTCTGTTAACGGTGAGGTAGGCACAATGCTGCAGTGGCAGAAAGGAAGCATCGAGGCCGACTTGCTATAAGCCAGACAAGACCTCCTCTCTGAGGACGGTGATGCCGATAAATGGGACTTCAATGGGCAGGTTTCACTCTGCTCATCCACAAGTGAACCGACGCCTGAAGTCCTAAAACGCCCGGCTCCGCAGCCTCGCAGGAAGCCTCTTTTCTAAAGGGGAGATAGCCCATTCATCCCCAGGAACCAAAGGGAAGGCAGCCAGATCCAGGTCGCGCACTCCACATCCAAATCTTGGCAAGCGCGCGAAGGTTTGGGGCGCCCCGGCGCGCCCTCCCTTGCACTCCACCCTCCGAGGCCTCCACCGCCCGCGGACTCACCACTGTGCGAGCTGAACCACCTGGGTGCGATGTGCAGAGGTAGAGCATCCGCCAGCGAGGCTCGGGAGCCCAGGTACAGCATCCCGTCTCTATGGTGACCGCCGCCGGTCTCCTGGTAACCATTGCCATGGGCATAGGTGGAGTCGGACGCAGACCCTCCGCCGCCGGGCGCCCTCTCCGAGTCGCCGGTCCCCCGGGAGGCGGGGGTGTAGAGGCCAAAGGGCACCCCCCCGGCCGTGCTGGGGTCCATGCCCATGCCCGCCACCGAGCTGACCGAGCGGCTGCGAAGCCCCATGGCCCCGCCGCCCGCCCGGTAGTGCCCAAAGTGGGGGGCCCCTCCCGGCGGGGGCACGGCGCTGTCATCGGTGGAGACCCCCGGAAAGGGGCCCCGGGAGCGGGCCGCCGTGCTCTGCTTGCCCCCCATGCTCGCCCGGGCCCCGGTGGGGCGGGAACCTGGAGGCCGAGACCCTCCCCCACTTCTCAGCAGCGGGGGGAGGGTTGGGCGAGCATAAATGGGGAGGGAGTCAAAAAGGAGACCCGGAGGAAAAAAGGGGAAAAAAAAGAAAAAAGAAAAGAAAACCCGCGGGGCGGAAGAGGCAGGCGGGCGGGGATCCCAAACTAAGAATTTAAAACGATCCAAGCCAAACGCATGTTTCCCCTCAAGGTCCAAAGAGGCGCAGTCCGGCGCGGGCTCGGCGCGCCACAGGCCGCCCCCGGGCTCCCGAAAGCCGGGGGAGCCGCAGGGAAGGAGGGAGGGAGGCGGCGGGCGGGCGCAGGGAGGCGCCGGAGGAGGCCGCCCGCCGGACAGGAGGAGGCGGAGGAGGGCTGGGGGCACCGGGCGCGTCCCCCGCCTCAGGACGCCGCAACCATGGACGCCGGCCCGGACCCCTCCAGGCCTCGGGCGGGCTGCGGCGCTGGGCGGCCAGGCGGAGCTCGGGAAGCCGCGGTCGCGTCGCGCTCTCGCTCCAGCAGCCGCCGGCCCCGCCAGCCGCTCCGCCCCGCTCGGTCCCGGGCTGCGCTCGCCGGCGCTCCTCGCCGCCGTGGAGACAATGGAGGGCGGCAGAGCGCAGGCGCGGCCCGCGCCCCCTCCCCTCCCCCCCGCCGGGTTAACCCCTTCGCGGCCCCTGCGGCGCCGGGCCGCTGACGCCCGGGAGGTCCCCACCCACCCACCCAGCGCGACCGGCCTGTGACCTGAGTGGCCCGAGCCACGGGGCGTCAGGAACAGAAGCCAGGCGTCTTTTCAAAGCAAGCACTCTTTTTAAAGGCCCCGAAAATGGCTAATTATTGAGGGGGAACCCCCTATGGGAGGAGGGGCGGCGACGGTTCAAGGGGCTGGGAAGGAAACGCAAAGAAGAATGAAAATTACTCGAGAAGCCTACCTGGCTCTAAGGGTCACTGGTCAAGCCTCCCTCCCTGCGCAAATTTGCCCCCACAGCACCCTCTGGTGGACGTGCTGTCCATTCTTGCGGAGGTTTCCCGACCAGGACCCCCTAAGATCAGGAAGCCTAGCATTGCGGGGATTTTTAACTGTTTGGGGGTACACAGGGCACTGGGGCACTTGTGACTCGGGATTTTGCCAAGAGTAGATCGGAACTTCCTATTTGAGGCTTAAGCCGTGGGTGGGTTCCTTAGCTAAAATGTGATCCTGAAAATCATTAGGTGAAGACATAGACACAGCCAGAACTGGTGATTTTAGAAACTCCCTAGTCCAAGGTGAGTCCCCGGTTTTGTTTACCTTTTATTCCAACATGCACCATAGTGGGACACAGTGGGTACTCAGTATTTGTCCGCCGAGTCTGCATTTTCCAATATGTCTCTCTCACATATTCACATCCATCCATCCATTCATTCATTCAACAACGATTTTTCAAGTGCTGGCTGCTGGCTATGAGCATCACCCACTCCCTGCTCCGACTTCCTTGCTCTAAATGTCCCCATATACTTCCACATCAAGGAGTCAAAACAGGGTGTAGAGAGATATTAAAAGAACCACCCCCCAAAAAGAAGAGCTGATCTGTCACAGGTATTGACTGTCCCAGTGTGGGCAGCTTGGAAAGAAACAGGAGGAAGGCTATTTATTTGCAAGCATGGAGTGCTGAGGGGAGGGCAGAAAGCCCTGCAGAAGGAAGTAGAGAATTCTCCTTGAGAAATGAACATAGGGAAAAACAAAATGTTCCAATACCCAAGAAATTATCTGTAAGTGCCTAAATAAGGAATTTGTGCACACCTAAGATCCAAATAAGTGGTCTGAAGGAAAATAAGAAAGCTTAAATTTAACCCACTTTTCTCCCTGAAGAAAGAGTATGGTAACAGAAGAGGGGTGGTATGGTGCTGTGCAGGAAAAAGGATACTAGATCCCTTGACAGATCTGTACTGGGGAGACAATACACAATCAGTAAGGATTATTGTAACCATCTAATTAGCTTTTGATTTACCTATCCATTCAACACTTTTTTAGCACATCGAACGAAATATGAATGTCTAGTAAGTGCCAGGCACTGCACTGGGTTCTGGGATTCAGTTGTGAGCAAGACAGATGGAGTCTGGGTTCTCACAAAGCTTCAGAAGAACCACTTCATACCCACTAGGATGGCTATAATCAGAGGGGACAAATGCAAGTGTTGGTGATATGTGCAGACATTGGAACCCTCATACCTTGCTGGTGGGAATGGAAAATGGCACAGCTGCTTTGGAAAACAGTCTGGTGATTCCTCAGAAAGATTAAACGAAGAGTTATCGTATGACCCAGCAATTCCACTCCTAGGTCTATTTCCAAAAGACATGAAAACATATATGCACGGAAAAACGTATATGTGAATGGTCATAGTGGCATTATTCACAATAGCTAAAAAGTGGAAGCAACCCAACTGTCTATTGTCCGATGAATGGATAAAGCAAATGTGGTGTATCTATACAGTGGACTATTATTCAGCCACAAAAAGAAATAAAGTGCTGATATGTGTTACAGCATGGATGAACCTTGAAAACATCACGCTAAGTAGAAGAAACTAATCACAAAAGACCATATACTGTCTGATTCCACTTACATGAAATTTCCAGAATAGTCAAATCCACCAAGACAGAAAGGGTAATGTTTGCTGGAGCCAACGGAGAGGCGAGAATGGAAAATGCCTGCTAACAGGTTAGTTTCCTTTTAGAATGATGAAAATGTTCTGTATTAAATAATGGTGATGTTTGGGGCACCTGGGTGGTTCAGTGAGTTAAACGTCTGACTCTTGATCTCAGCTCAGGTCTTGATCTCAGAGTTGTGAGTTCAAGCCCCAAGTTGGGCTCCATGCTGGGGGTGGAGCCTACTTAAAAAAAAAAAAAAAGGAGGGGCGCCTGGGTGGCTCAGTCGGTTGAGCAGTTGAGCATCTGAGCGTCTGCCTTTGGCTGGGGTCTTGGTGCCAGGGTCTTGGTCCCAGGGTCTTGGGATTGAGCCCCACATTGCCCGACTCCATGCTCAGTGAGGAGTCTGCCTCTCCCTCTGTCCCTCCTCACGCTCGTGCTCTCTCTCTCTCTCTCTCAAATAAATAAAATCTTTTCTTAAAAAAGAAGAATGGTGATGTTTGCACAACCTTGTGACTACACTAAATACTGCTGGATTACACACTTAAAAGGGTGAATTTGATGGTATGTGAATGACAGTGCAGTGCCATACAGAGTACTGAAGTAAACAGTGACAATACCGTGTGACAGATAGGCCTAGAACAGTGCCTGGCGTGTAGTTAGCCCTCCATATGAATAAATGAGTGAATGATGAAGTGCCATGAGAGGGAAAGATTATGGTGCTGATGGAAGGAGACAGGCACCAACAGTGATCCAAAGCCAAGGCCTAAAAGATGAGCTGGTGACGAGGCTGGGAATGGGGTTGCAGGGGGAGAAATGTGCTTCAGGAAGACAAGCATGTTCCAAGCATGTTCCTAGCATGTTTGAACGCCTAGAGAACATGGCATCTTCAGGGAACTGAAAGCTGCAGTGAAGCTGATAGGATGTGGGAACTGAAGATGAAGCTAGTCCTCAGGGGCAAACCTGAGGGTCCTAGGAGCCACAGTAGGGAGCACGGACCATATCCCGAGGGGATAAGGGCTCTGGGAAGATTTATCAACATCATTATCAGTACAAATAAGAATGTCCAATGACTAATGAGCACTGAAGATGTCAAGACTTGAAAAATTAAGAAACTTGCTCCCTCCCCAAATAAAGACCTATATTTTTCTTAGCTTCTAGATTCATAAGGATACTGGATAGAAACATGAAACAATATGATGTAGTTCCCCTAGGGGGTGGGCAGTGGGAACTGAGCGGTGGAGTGACAGGATGCAGACAAAGATTTTGTTTCATCGTGTACTTTTTTGTATTTTAGTGTTGGAGCCATGTAAATTGAGAGAGACAGAGAGATAGTCTACACATGGGCATTAAAGTCACCTGGCCAGTAGGGGCAGAGCCGGACTTCTAAGCTTTCCAGTGAACATGCTCATCAAGGAATCTTTGGATGACAAGTTCATTTTCTCTGAATGCTCGTCAATGGGGTGAAAAAGAGTAGATCCGCTTAACAGCTCTATTTCTTTTCGTAACTTAAGAATTTGCCTTTAAGGTTTATATTCCCATCTACTGATATTGAGAGGCCAGCCTCTCTCCCACCTGGCACCACGGAACACCTGAGAACCTGAACTGTGGGTGAAGCCTTGACTCTCCGCAGTGTGATGACAGTAGGTTTAGGTGCCCTGTGGAACTCTGATGGGCAGCCTTTCTCAGGCAGTGCCAGTGTTATCTCCTTGTGCACTTATTAAAGAACAAATTTCCTTTGAAATTACAATATTAAAATACAGAGCAGGGAAAGTTCTTCATTTAGTAGCTTGACTCTACCCTTTACACCTTAGGGAGAGTGACTCATGGCATAGCAACAGGCATCCACAGAGACCTGCAGCCTCCGATTAGTTTCATTTTGTCATTTGTTGCATTGAGAGTCCAGTATGGGCTTTGCTGCAAGTTTCTCCTGTGGATTCCTGGTTCAAAGTTAATGGGTCAGGGGAGGTGTTTTGGATGCTCTCGATGCAAGACGATCAGATGCAGAAGGGGCCCCCGATAGATTTAGGACCCTGTTTTACTATTTTTTATCTTTCTGCTCTCACTGACCCTGGGTAGAGTTGCTTCCTGGCTGTTCTTCAGCTGTGAAACAGGGTTAATAAACCACTGACCCACCTACCAGAACTGACAGGAGAAAGGACTGATAAATTTGGTGTTGCCAAAGCATACAAATACCAGTGCATAACAATGCTGCACAGCCCGTTTCCAACATCTCTGGGAGAATGTAGAGTCTGGGAGGTTCCTGAAAGGTTCGGAAAATGAGGGAAACAGCTAGCTGGGGCCTGCTTCTGAGAAGCCTTGGGAAACCTGTGGCCTCCTTCCTCTCTGTCTCCCCGAGCCACGGCTTTGGAGGGAGCCCCAGCACCGCCTCTGGGTGTGGATAAGTGTCTCCCAGTAAGAAAATTCCCCCCAGATTTCTCAGAGCACTTTACATTTGTGTTATTTTGCTTGAAAAGAGAAAACTTAGAGAAACCAGGGCAATGAGCAACCAAATGCACAAAGCGAGGAGCACGAGCATGTGTGCACGTCCACAAATATTTGTTGATTGATGGAGAGGAAAATTACTAGTGGCGCTCAGGGCAGGATTCCAAGATTCCCAGATGTAAAGAGACTGAGGGGTCGGCTAACTCCACATTCTGCAGAAGAGGAAGCGAAGGCCTAGAAAGATAAAGGATCTGAGTTTAAACTTGCAAGGGTAGCTGCTGATAACAGCCAGCCAAAGCCCTGGATTTCTGGGTTGACCATGCACGTCCCCTGCCTTCCTGTGGCATGGCTGGCAAGTGACCTTCTGGAAAGAGCTTGCTTTGGTGATCAGAGCCCTGTAGTCTGGTCAGCAAGTTGAGATCTACTTGACAGGGGACCCCCAACAGTCCCCAGTCTCTGATTGAGACAGGACATTCATCTGTGCGTCTCGGAGGCACACAGCAATTGAGAAGGAGCCAGAGAGCTCTAGATTTAGCTC